AAAGATTTTATTTATTTGACAGAGAGAGACACAGCAAGAGAGGGAACACAAGCAGGGGGAGTGGGAGAGGGAGAAGCAGGCTTCCCGCGGAGCAGAGAGCCCGATGCGGGGCTCGATCCCAGGACCCTGGGATCATGACCTGAGCCGAAGGCAGACGCGTAACGACTGAGCCACCCAGGTGCCCCATTTTTTAAAACAGATATTGTTTTTATGTTTTTATGGCCAGATTACAATACTAATGAAAATACATAGTTTAAAGCCATTAAGTGGCAGGTGCCGGGCTGGCTCTAAGTCAGTTCAGCATGCAATTCTTGATCTTGGGGTCATGAATTCAGGCCCCACATTGGGCATGGAGCCTACTTAAAAACAAAAACCCATTAAGTGGTACTCATCAGAAACAAATCACTTCATCTGTTTTATCTCTTTATCTACATGAACCATATTCAGTCTTTGCTCAGTTTGCCTTTCCATATTATCTTCAAATTAAATGATTGGCAATGAATTGGTGGTAAAATTTCTACTATTAGCCCAAAACTCTGCAGCATATTCTAAAACATATAGAATGTCCTCATTTTGCATGTATATTTATTTTAAAATCAGAGCTCCATCCCTTTAGTTATTGTTTCTTCCATTTGGAGTAGCTCAGGGAATATGTCTCTAGAGAATTTGAGTCTTTCCCTCACTGATAAGAAGATAATTACACTTGAGAACAATTGTTCTGATAATGCCTTTTTCTTCCCACATAGGATGTGGAGGTAATTTCACGAACCCTTCAGGTTACATCCTTTCTCCAAACTACCCAAAGCAATATGACAACAACATGAATTGCACCTACATCATAGAGGCTGATCCTTTGTCCTTGGTCTTCCTGACTTTTGTGTCTTTCCATTTGGAAGGTAAGTTTATTCTTAGTAAATTACAATTGATTCTTTTTTTTGTTTTAAGATTTATTTATTTGTTTTAGAGAGAGAAAGAGAGAGCGTGAGCAGGAGGGGCAGAGGGAGTGGGGAGAGAGAATCTTAAACAGACTCTGCACTGAGCGCACATCCTGATGTGGGGCTCAGTCTCACAATCCTGAGATCGTGACCCGAGCTGAAATCAAAAGTCGGACGCTCAACCGACTGAGCCACCCAGGTGCTCCTACAATTGATACTTAATGAATGAATGAGTGATAAATGAGGCAGAGGTAGTGTAAAAATCACCGTTTGAAGGATGTATTTAAAATGTCACAGAGTATTTTTGATGTACACTTGATTAAAATTTCATCCAGTGTTTTAAAAACACATGCACCATTCTATGTATTCCATCCAGAAATGAGAAAGTAACGTAAGAGCTTTAAGAACATAAGCATCATGTAAATTACTTAAAAAAAGTCTGGAAGGTATTACATATTAATAATTGTTTTTAATGTATTCATTTGTGCTTTGTGCATACACACATCCACATGCATGTACACACCAAACACTAACTAGCAAGAGAAACTATCTTACTGACTCAAATTAGATGCTCAATAAATGTTGGAAGAGTGAATAAATGAATATAATTAATAAATGTTTGCACTCTTGTTTGATTCAATATTACCATGGGACCCCTTTCATCTCCTTTCTGTCTTTGATCTTCAACAATTCCATAGGGATTGTGAACTCCCTAACCACAAGTGCCACTTTGGTTTCATTCCACAGCTCCAGGAAATGGGCTATTGGCAAAGGGACCGTAGGCCTGTTTATTTGGGCTGGCTCTGAGCACAATAGACACAACTTTTGTTTTGTAGCTGCTGGGACACAATTTAGAAAAAAGATCTCTTCAAGAAGATGGGTATTTTTGACCATTCAGTCATATTAATATTTTTTACAAATTAACTTTCCATTTCTAAATTACACTTAGTCTGTAAACTTGTCAAGCTACCTCTGCATAATCAAAATTTCTTTCTGTTTGGGTTGGTCTCCTTTGCCAGTGAAAAGTTACAGTTAGGAAAATGTCCTACAATATTCAGCATTCAGGAAATTTATGTTTCATGAAAATAAGAATGACATGTCAGTACTCATACATTGATAAATTATACAAAGCCTCTCTCACGTTTTCCTTTTTCTATGACCTCCTTTTCCTTCATCTCTACAAGTTGTAAATTTTGACACATGTGTTTGCTAGAATACCAAGTATAAATTGATGTATGTCACTGTAAAAATGGAATATGAAGTAAAATATATCTTTTCAGCTTTTGCTAGCACAAAATCCCAGTAATATGAAAATGCATTCACAATATATAAAGTTTTAGGGGAAGGTAAAACAGTTTATCTAAAATGACCCAATGTTGTATTTAAGAATAACATATGCATAAGACTATTAAGCAGTACTTTAAGAATTGTTACCACTGTACATAGATTTATAAGTGATATGTATTTTCTTTATACTTCTTCTATTATCTTTTTAATCAGGGAAAAGTTATTTTAATAACAGGAATAAAGCATGTGGCTTGCATTGTGTATTTGTTCTCATTAAATTGCATAAACACAAGAATGTCATATGCCAATATCATTTAGACTAAAAAAAGGAGACGTTGGTAAATATACTATATAACATAGCTACAAAAAACATTGCCAATACCAGTGGTGTATGTATTATTACAAAGGAACCTATACTGACCCCAAACAGTAGCTCCTGAGTTCAGTTGACCAGGTGGGATTAAGGGGCAAGCATACTCTGGAACCCTGGGTGTGGCGAGTGGTGGGAGAGAGCACAGCATTTTAGGATGGGTTTTGACACCAGGTCAGCCATGTACTAGTCATGTGACTTTGTGCAAATTAATCTTTCACAATCACTTTAATTTTTTAAAATACGAAATAGTAGTTATAGTAGTTATAAAAATCAGATCATGCTTGTAGAAGCCTATTCTGTGAACTATCATTCATCAGAGTTCCCACTGTTTTGCTATTTTTGCTGCCACCAGTCAGGATCTCCAGACACACCCTTATTTACGTTGCCTGTGAACAGGTGCTTGGTTTTTCCAGATTAAGTTATTGGCTAACCCTCACTCAATTGAAGCGTTGATTTTTTTTTTTATAAGATGATAGCCTGTGACATTTGTCTTGTGACATTTCCAGTGTTATAGGTACTCAGTTATGTTTAAGTGAGTAATTTCTGGCTATAGATTAATTGGATTATGATGATTCTCAAAAAAGACAACATTAATCAGATTTATCTTATAATTAGATTCTTATCACTAATCAGACCAATGCTGACATTCACTGAATACCATTAACAAACTAGAGATTTATTTGCTGCAGTAAAAATAACCTTCTACCCCTTCTAAAGTGAGCCTGAGGAATTCATGTTCAGGATATTGTAATAAGACTGAAAATTGCTCCCAAGAAAAACTCGGTTTTTTTGCAGGAGCCTTGGCCTTTCTAGCTGCTCTAGGCCATACGAACTATTTCTAAAAGACTCTGTCCACATGGCATTTCTGAGCCCAGCATGCCAACAGAGCCAATGTTGACCTTGGCAGAGATGAGGGTTCTAGATCTGTTCTTTTGGTGGGCCATTAGCACGAAAGGTAGATCTGGCAAGAAAAAGATGGGCTATCCCACACTACAGAATACAGTGGGGACATAGACTTGTTCATATGTTGTGTCTCCCAAACACTGACAATTGGTTAGGAAAGGTTTTACTAGTCAGACTACCATACTGATTATTTGACTACACGCTGGTGTTTTCACCATGGGAAGATTACTAAGGTTCAGTGACCTACATTCCACTGAAGTAACTTGCTCCAAAAGTATGTTATGATATTTTATGTTGGCCTAAGTTTCTCATCATTATTATTCCAATACTAGTCATTGTATGAACTTCGGACTTCTCATCTTTTCTACATAATCACTAATGAAGTATAAAAATACCAGTGAAATCAATTCAAAGTCATGGAAGAAATTTCCATTTGAGCATTTACAAGGCAACTTTTAAATTTTTATTCTGAATGTCATCTCCAGATTGAAATGGCTCTTGGTATTCTTAAAAGTGGCTTCACAATTTCTAAAGTAGAATAGAGAATTAACAAATTTAAAATGTTTCTTTTGGTCAAAAATGAAACACCAGAAACAGACAAAAGCTAACTACAAAGCATAAGAGAGAAACTGTCAATGTTTGTACTTATTTTGGAATCAGAGTTTATTGAATAAATACTTATTTAATTTTCCCAAATATTGAACAGTCGAAAAGTATGTTTTTGTGTTTTCATTATTCATGTGCCCACGTAGATGCCTTGAAGTTGCTGGGAAGATTATAGGCCATTTATTTTTATTGTTTACTTTATAGATAAGGCACTTAGCAGATGAGGTGCCCTATGGCAAGTGATTGCCTTCTATATCTTGATTCTTCTGTCATTAAAATTCAGTAATACCATTGATTCATCTTGATGACAATGAAAAGTTTAGAAATTCTTAACTAAAAAATCGTACATCTAGGCAAATTCTAAACTCAGTTTCTCTCAGATCCAGAGTATCTCTTGATAAGAATTGAATAGTAGAGTAACACCTTAGCACAGACAGTGGAGAGAAACAGAAGGACAAATGCTTTTGCTCACCGTCCTCTAGAGATGGCCTCAGAAGCTCCAGAGAAAAATAGGGCTAGATAAGTCAAGCAGAGAAAGTCAATTATCATATGGTTTCACTTATTTGTGGAACATAAGGAATAGCATGGAGGACATTAGGAGAAGGAAGGGAAAAATGAAGGGGGGTGGAAATCTGAGGGAGAGATGAACCATAAGAGACTATGGACTCTGAGAAACAAACAGGATTTTAGAGGGGAGGGGAGTGGGGGGAATGGGTTAGCCCTGTGATGGGTATTAAGGAGGGCACGTACTGCATGGAGCACTGAGTGTTATATGAAAACAATGGATCGTGGATCACTACATCAAATACTAATGATGTACTGTATGGTGACTAACATAACATAATAAAAGAAAAGAAAAGAAAAATAGGGCTAGATTAACAGAGCAGCCATAGGGGAAGTCCTTTGTAATATTTGCCTGACTTTTAAAAAATTTACTCAGAAGTCCTGGTTTACAGGTTACACCTACCTATAAAGCTAGCATATCTGGAAAAGAAAAGAAAATTCAGCTTTAGAAATTTCCTTTTGCTCTTTTCCCCACCAAGAATGGGTTTTGTCAGTTGTCTTAGTTTACATTCCCCCCACCATGAAATCTGCTTTTTTTTTTTAAAATGGCATTACCCAGCTACTTATCATTTCTTCTCTTTGCTCTACTTAGCTGTTTGTAAAGAAATAAGAATGTAGGCACATTTCACAATTTATTATTTTAGAAAGCATCGGGCAGTGCTACTTTCGAAATAGTTCCTATTGGTGATTTATTTATTCAAATTGGCCAAGCACTAGAGGAGACAGTTTAGTTATGTAGGATTCCTCGCTTGTCTGTGTTATGAGACTTTGGTCTGCACAGCCTGTGGAGCTTAGTTCTACACTGGCACAGTCTTCTCCGACCACTCAGTCATTCCTCCATTGAGCAATCCAGTCTCCAGGCTACTGTTAATTAGGCATTGCTGCCCCCTAATTCCTGTACCTCTCCCTAGAGCCCTTCGCTGCTTTACTGAAAAGACTTTATCTTATCTACACTATCAACCCAAATGATTTCCCCCTATCTCTTAGTCCTCTTTGATATCTCTACCTCTCTGTGGCTCTAGAGAAAAATTGTACTCTGAACCTAAATTTGACAAGTTTATATTATTTGCTGAGTTACTCATTCTTGGTTTCCTTTCAGTTCTAAGTTCTTGGAATCGTGATGGAATTCAGAATTGAACATTGCTCTTTAATAAAGACTAGAGGAATATGATAAAAATTATATTTCAATACACTGGATAGAGCCTTACCCATTTCAAACAATAAACAT